TCCTAATAAATAAATGTATTACGATATTTTAAAAACCCAGTTTCAACTCTGATTATCGTAATTATACTATTACTAATAATTGATCCATTTTTGTTTATTTACGTTATCAGTTTTAAATAAATCCGATTTTAATTCTAACTCCAGCTTTTTATGTTTCAGCATTTTCATTAATAAATACTCATCATCACTAATTGCTATATGATAAAGAGCTCGTATTCGACATTCCATTTACTGTGGAGGAACACAGGTCAATGCCTCTTAATTTTTTAAAACTAACTTTTATTTATGCGCTAGGTGAGCTTTTTATTTTTCAATAATAAAAAATAATATTAAAATTTTTATGAATTTAAATCATGTTAAATTATGCAATTTAAATATTTTTAATTATAATAATAGATATTGTGTACATTCCCAACCCTTGAGCAATCTGAAAAACCAATTCTCTTTTTTTAATAAAAGCTTTTTTTAACCTTCCTACTTTCCCGAAGTAACTGTTACATTTCTTGTCCATGGGTTTACGTGTTGTGAATTAAATTCCAATTTTTTTTATTAATTCATAGAAGCTTTTGTAATTTCATATTATCGATGTATCAAAACTGAAAACATTTTTTTTTTTGTAATAAAAAATATAATAAAACTTTATATTCAATAAAAACAATAAAAATAAATAATAAAACTTTTGCAGGCATAAGCTGACTCTAATGTATTTGTTGTATCTACACATCTACATAAGTAGACACATAATGTTATAGGTAATGGATTTTGGGAACAGCTATGACCTTGAACATTTCACATAAACTTGTGTACTAAATAGGCATAATGCATAGCTCTTGTCAAAATCCAATACATTAATAATATAATTACATATCTTCGATTCTAAAATATTGTAAAAGACTTTAAAGAGTCTGAGTAAAAAAAGAGATATTTAGTTATATTCTTTGTGGCATTTTCAAGGTCATAGCTGTTCCCAAAATCCATTACCTATACACTGACTGCTTTGTTTGGACTTCCGTCCTAACTTGTCAAGATTGCCATTTTAATCAGTTGCTTTCATCAAGTCCTCGTAGACACACCTGTCTAAGGACTAGCAACTTCACGAGTCATAAGTCGCCATGTTACCAAATCTACTGGTAATTTTAACATCATATTATTTAGTAACACAATAATGTAAATTAAATTTAAACAAACAATATTTAACGGGTTTTTACCCACATATTTAGTGGCTATATACATGTATACCTAGTAAGTATTTTGCACTACCCTTGGTCAAAATTTAAATTTCACGTTCTTTTTAATTTAATTAAGTGCTCATATACTTTTTAGGGAATACGGCCGGTTTGCGCTCGACTGTTTTGCGCCCTTACCTGAAATCGACCGGTTTGTGCTTTGCAATTTTCATAATAGAAATATCTAACTACTATAGTTTCCTTAATCGGCCGATTTGCGCTCTCTTGCAATATAATTTTAATTTCATTCTACAATAATAGTCTGGTGAACCTGCAATGAACAAACTAACATGTCAAATAAACAGAATCATCTTTTTCCTTTAGATTCGAAAAAAAATGTCAAATCAAAACTAACAAAATTATTAAATTTTTTTAATACTGTCGAACAACAGAGTAGTAGTAGTTCTTTGATATAATAGGATCAAAATTATTGTGAGTCAGTGTGAGTTAGTGTTTTAAAAATGGATGTGCAAATTATTGAAACTTTGAAGGGAAAACCATGTGCATTGTATATAGGGTACAGTTTTCGTATGAAAGGAATAAATAAAGATTCGGTTTTTCGGAGTTATTTTACAGAGAAAACTAAAAATGTCAAGGCCATATAATTATAAATAATAACACAATAATTAAGGAAGCCGAACATCTGTGTAAGCCGAGTGTTGCAGCGACAGAAGTGAAGCAGTGTATCTTCAATGCTCGAAAAAGAGCTAGGGAAGACAATAGTTATTTGCCGATGTCAAAAATATATAAAAAGAATTTCAAAGATTATACAGTCAAGGACTGAATTTCGTGACAGACATCCCAAAATTCTCTTCAGTTAAAAGTGGTTTAAACGATTGTAGAAAACGTGCGCGTGGGCTGCGTTCAGATGAAACGGCAGCATCCGAAATAGTATTTCCAGAAGAAATTATCACAATGAGCGACAAAACGAAATTTTTATTTATCGACAAGATCACTTCCTCGGGATACAGAATCTTGGTATTTGCCAGCAACAAAGCTAGGGAGATTTTGTATCTACCCATCGAAGATATCGATGATGGCTGGATATGCATTCAACAAACCTCTCCTATTTCTGAAAAAAATGAAACAGTTTTATGATTACTTTGTCAAATAATGGTAAGAAAATACTCACATTACCAAGGAAATGTGGAATTGCCATGATCAAAAACATCGCAGTAATAACGTTTTAGAAACGTTGGTATCATCATCGGGATGTGGAAGACCACATCCCAATGTATTCCAATTAGTGAAGTGTCCAGTTAAAGAAGCAGAATATTGTGATCACCTTTATGATCGATTTACTTTCAATTTGAATGGAAAGTGTCGCAAGAAAACATATATTAATCTTGATGAAAAAATATCCAAAACTTTACAGAAATATAGAGATACAAGGGACTTAAGGTTGTGTTTAAGGACATTGGCATATATCCAGAAGCTAAAATAAATAGACAATTTTTTATTCTCAAGAATTTTTTTATTATACTGTATAAAATAAAACAAAAAAATTAAAAAAAAAACAACAAAAAAAAAAACGAAAAAAAAAATGAAAAAATAAAAAAAACATTTTCTAAACTCGCCAATGTTTATATTATGTATATAAACTATGACAGTCCTAAGCCTGAATGAAAGTCTGAAGGGAAGATGGTTTATTTTTATATTTTTATAGGTTTATGATTTTTTAAAAGTTTACTAGCCGTTACCTGATCGTTATGGTAGAATAAAATTAAACGTCGATTAAAAAGAGCGCAAAACGGTCGATATAAAAAAATAATTATCTATACATCTCCATTAAGAAAGTGTAAGGGATAGCGCCCACCAAAGTGACATGGCAAGTGGCAAATAGCAAGTAGCACGATCTAGCATGTTACTTAAAATGTAATGAATGGAAACGAATGATTCAGCGCACACCAAAATGACAGTGGCGTGATTCATTCTAGTCATTTGTTTCCATTGGTTACATTTTAAGTAAAATGCTAGGCGCGTGCTACTTGCTAAGTGCCACTTGGCATGCCAGTTTGGTGGGCGCTCTCACTTAGAGCGCAAACCGGCCGATTTCAGGTATGGAGCGCAAAACCAGTCGAGCGCATATCGGCCGACACCCTTTTTAGGACACTGATGATGGAATATGCATTCCGAAAACGTTTTGTGATATAGCCCGATTGGTTTATTTAAATTATATACCCTTTATAAAGGATTTTTATTAAAAAATTTTTAATATATGGTATAGAGCCAACTACAGGAACTTAGATTCCTTATGGATTGAAATTTAAAATAATTATTTAAGATGTTTTTAATATCAGCACTAGAAATATTAACAAATGTCGTTCGGTCATTTAAATATAGGTTACAAATTTATATAGACGTTGAAGGTTAACATTTTGCCTTAATATCACATTAATTGTTACATTTATTACATATTACTATGGTTTTTCTATTTTATAGTAACTTATACTTATTATCTACTTTCAAAAAATGAATATATTCCCGAAATTTGACAAAAAAAACTAAAAATATATCAGAAACTATTGAGTTTAGGTATAGAGAATGCTGTATAAAAATGAATGAGTATAATAAACACAATATTTCTATTCACAATTCATTACAAAAAAATTAGAAAATCGTAATTTGGTTTTGTAGTTCAGCCTGTATGAAAATTTAAGTTAATGATTTCAATTAAGCTTAATTTAAAACTACAATATATTACGACTTTATTATATAAAATATTTTTTCTTTCATGCATGACTTCTTTATATACATGGCGTTGATTTCAACTGATCCACTCCTTAATTCTAAACGTGAACAATTTTGCCGCGGCCACCTTAAGAGCGAGATTCTCTGCAAGCTTTGTAGTGTATGCGGGAACTCTTGAAGATTAAACCAAAATATTGACAGAGATATTCAACGTGTGTATGTTCGCCCGTATGTCAACAGAAAAACCACTTTTCTTTTCCGTATTTTCAGCTCTTTTTATGTCATCAAATCCTTTTTCGGTAAAAACCCGTTTGGTTTAAAACTTAAATCAGTTATTGCTCTATCCAAAGGTGAGAAAGGGTAAATAGGTTATGTAGATGCATAACACCTCATAAATTAAAAAAATAAACAAGTCTGTTTATATGTACTTAATTTTACATTTTTTGTGCTTTATTTTTGAAAATAAACGCCAATTTATGTCATCACAATTATTGGAAATTTTTTATACAACTTTGAATTAAATTTAAGTTAGACGTCTATCGAAATATTAGACATATTTTTGTTACTTTTAGCATTAAAAGTAGTAGCAATGTAGTGCATAAACCCCCTCTGTGGCTCAGTGGTAAGAGCGCCTACCTTTAAACCTAAAGGTCGTGAGGTGGAATCTCACCTGGGTGGAGAAATTTTCGTTTATTAAAAATTAATGAATGAAAATAATCTCTATCCTTGTGCGATCGGTACTCACCGGAGGGACCGCAGACGTTCGGATACAATTAGCGTCTCTTAGCAAAGACAATGACGTCGACATTGCTACACTACACTAACTACCTGACTGTACCATGCCAATGATCATTAGTTGTCGAGGCATTAACTCAATAATAAAAAAAATGTAGTGCATAAGTAAGTGTGATGTATTATCATAGGTAAAAAATAAACAAATTGTTTTAGATAAAATTTTATTATCGACAAAGTGAATAGTTCTTTTAAATTTTCAAAAAACAAGAGTTAAATACGCTGTATAATAAAATAAATAAAAATCTTTTGTAAGTATTTCATTCTTATTAGGAAGTTATAGATACTGCCTTAATTTGTTGTACTCGCAGATACTTCGATAAGCTTCTCCTCCTTGGACTTCAATTTTGATTCTAAAAGCCATACAAATAAATTAGACTATGATAGTTTTTATTAGGTTTACTATGATATTACGAAATATTGAACTAACAGAAATGAATTGAAGACTACAGGGGAAAAACGCTGTAAGTCAATTTTTTAAATTTTTGGAAAACGCGATTTTTAGATTCAAAACTTCATAATTCATAAATAAACATGCTAAACCACTATTGTATTGAGTATTTTGGCAACTCATATATACAGAGTATGATATTATAAAATTGAAATTGTCATGTACAGTAGGTAACGAGAGAAATTAAAAAAAAACAACCAAAGGTCTGGAGGAAAAAGGCAAAAACGCTGTAATTGACAAAATAATATAATATGAATTCAACGAAAGAAAAAAATAAGCAGAACTAGACTTGTTTAACTTAACTAAAGCTAAAAACATTAATATTATCTGTTAAATGAATCAATAACATTGTAAAATTCTTAAGATAAAAAATAAGTCATGTTTTTTTAGCTGATCAAAATACATTCTTCCTTTTTCTGAACAAATTTTTTTTAAACTTGGAGATCTTTGTATTTTGCCATTGGAATGGGCAGTGACTCAGTATATGATCGAGAAGGAAAAACGAATTCTTTTCCAGTATACGGTGGTTCCCTACCAGTCACTTTTTTGTTAATGACAGCCGAAACCATTGTTCCATTGTAGGTGTCTCTGAATAATTGTCTGGGATGTTGCTTTGAAATGCTTAATTCTCTTATTGGTCTAGTTTTAAAAGGTGCTTTTGTAACATACATAGGTGCAAGAAAAGTGTCTCAGCTACGCACCAAGTAGTTATCAACCACTTCTACTTTATAAGGCACAGGTTTTTGACGAGCCAATCGTAACACTGCTTCCCAATCTTCTGGGGTTTCTGCTGCACTTTTTTGATTAACGATACCAAAATCTTTATCCGTCTCCATGTAAGAGTGACCTCTTATAGGAAAGGTCACAGAAATAGAGTCAAATCTGTTTATTTTATGGACTAAATAATGTAGAAACCGGAATACCGTCCAATTTTTATTTTGGCCTCCACACGAATCACAGAAAATCACTAAGTTACGAACTTCAGGAGGAAGCTGGATTGTCACATAGTCATACAGAAATGAGCAAACTTCATTGGCACCCTTTCGAGCTACTGTTTCAGGGTACGAGTACATAACAACATCATTATCACTAAGTCGATGGACATTAAAGGAGTAGAAAGACAACTGCCTTTTATAATACACGTCGTTACTCGTAATATTAGGCATTGGAAGGTTTTTATTATAGTCCATGGCTATGACTTCATATTCTCTTGAGATCCTTGCTCGTAGTTTAGCTTTTGTTTTTCGTTTGTAAAATGTCTGTGCTTTCAGCAAGTGAAGTTTCTGCCCTGTTTTAAGTTTATTAATTAATTTTTCATCTTTACATTCCCTTATTTTTATTTTGGAAGCATCACAAATGCTGCAAGTGTCGGTTCTGGGATACCCAAAGGAGATATTAAAGCGTGTGTTGAATGTTTTTCTATATACTTCATAGCACACTGCTCTATTGGGATGTTTCTCAAGGAACATTTTGTACATCTTTTTAATGTTAAGTTCCTCTGGAAGGTACTTCCTGCTAGATTTTTTTAGGCTGTAGTGACTCATGCGTCCTTTGAATGATTTTATGTGATTTAAAATTAACTGCATAGTTTCTTCAGACAATTTATTGGGTCTTGAGCCATGTTTACCTCTATTGTCCTTGGCGGTTGTACCATGTTTTAGGGCTTTTTGTACAGTTTGTAATCTTCTCGTGGATATCCATGAAGAGCAACAAAAGCTTTTTGACAAACCTGAACGTCTTTTGCAGGTGATGTATGCCCCTCATCATTAGTTACCGCAAGGCGAATTCTGTAATAAAAAGAGCCATCTCTTACGTTGCAATTCTCTTCATCTTTTCTTGGCCTTCTTTGAGTTACAGGAAGTATGGATATTAGACCACCCAAATACATACTTTGCTCGTCCCAATTCAGCATAGAATTAAAATTACGAATAATTGTATTTCTTTGTTCAACCGTTATATTTTCAAAACACTGATAACGTTTGCAATGGCAGTCCTCGCCTGTTTCGTGAGTTTGCACTTTTAGCGCTTTAGCTACATCACGTATTCGCCCAAAACTTTTTCGTTTTCTTGTAGTTTTTGACTGTAAAGCCTCTTCAATTTCGCTGTCCTCACTTTCCATATTAATAAACAATAGTTCAAACTTACCAAACGTTAAAAAACAAACTGTGATTATGATAATATTGATACTTAAATAAACAACTTGTATGAATGCTGAACACTGACTGTGATTTTCCTTTGTAAATTGTCCCTACGGACAGGCGCATCGAGCACCTAAATCTGACTTATAGCATAGTTGCCTAGTTTAACCTTGACTTGCAGCGCTCTTCCATTGTACAGCATTATTTTATTCGTTTGTAACGTTTGATTTATTGCACTTTTATTTTGTTTGATAGTTGTGGATTGTACTACGTGTATCCAAGTATCGAAAAATGTATTCCTCAAGAAATCGATAAAAATTGACTTACAGCGTTTTTCTCCTGTAGTCTTCAATTATTAATAGTAGTGTTACAAAATAACATCTAACAATTTTAATGTCGCAAAATACTTCTGTATATCAATAAATAGCGAATCTTAGAGGAAATTTAAGTAATTATGAAAGTGGAGAAAATTCCAGATGAATCAGTAAGTTAGTACCTTCTTGTTCTTTGAGTGCCTCTCCTATTCTCGGAATACCTCAATTCCTTAAAACATTGGAGAGGTAAATTATAGATGAATCCATGATGAAACCAAAATATTCGATAATCAGTTTGGCTGATTGTAAAATGATAGTAATTAATACAGCGAAAAGTATTACATGTACATTTGCATATTACATATACAAATTGAACAATAGGATACATTATGGAAAAGAAAAAAATTAATAACCTGTAAATTAGGGGAAGTCTAGAGATAGCATCATTTGTTGATGCCAGACTGAGAAAGACCAAAGAAGACCTAGGACGAGACGCTTAAGTAGAACATGTCGATACAGGGGTTTGATATTGCTATTGCTCAAAATATACAACTTTGTCACGACTAGCATATTTCTTTATCTTCAGCTGGATACGTTGATATATGTGCTACCTAAACTTAATTTATATATAAAAACGTAACTTTTATTTAGTTATCTTAAAAGTATATGTACGAACCAGCACTGATAAATGCTTACCTATTTTCGCAAAAGCAAGCCTCTCCAGAATTACTGGTGGAATTTCAAACACTAGGACCCATACAAATGAAGCTGACAACATAAGCATAAATACACCCCAGAACCAGTATATCTAAAAAAAAGAGTTTGTTGTTAACAATATTATAAAAAATATTAAAAAATTATTAACAATAATAAGTTATTTATTGAAATCTGTGTTATTTATTTTTAGGGTATAAGGGCAAAAATCAATTTTTTTTATTTGTTCCTAATTTTGACAGCTTACAATATACCAAAATATCTCATCTTACTTCTATAAGCTATTTTATAACTAAGTAGGTTTAACTATACTACAATTTTGTACTTTCAAGCATCTCTTTGATTTTTATTATATTATCTAAAAACTTTCTGGCATTTAACTCCTGGACAATACGTCTTTCTCGGTAGATTACAATAGCTAGATATTTAATGGGTTCTTCCGATAATATTATATACATACAGTAAGTAAATATTTACGATTTTTACAGTTTAGGCATGTTTTTAATCATTAACAATTTAGTGCAAGAAATGCAATTTTTTTTATTTTTAACTTACCATTAAAAACTTACTTTACTTTATATACTTTACTAAAAAATTATCATTTAAAATTAAATTATTAATTAAGAACCATTAATCAACTAGAAGCAGAAGTAGAATTACTCAATAAAAATATACAACAAGCTGCTTGGAACAACAGCACGAACAGTGTCGAAAGAATAAAAGGTAATAACTACCCGAAAGAAATCAGAGAAATGATAACCGAAAAAAGAAAACTAAGACGCAAGTGGCATCAGTCTAAAGCACCAGTTGATTAAACTAGATTAAATAATGCCACACAAAAATTAAAAAGAGAAATACAAAAAATTAAAAACGAATCGGTTAACTTACCTAAGTGAACTATCAAATGATAGCGCTACTGATTACTCTTTGTGGAAGGCTACTAAACGATTAAAAAGGCCAATCTTACAGTATCCACCAATTAGAAATACTAATGGTAGCTGGGCAAGAAGCAATATACAAAAGGCCAACAGGTTTGCTGACCACCTAGAAAATACTTTTCAACCAAATGAAGAACAAGAAAGAATAAACTGGGAGCTCCCTGATCAAGACGAAATGGAGATTAGCCTTGTAACTCCAAAAGAAGTATATTTGGAAATAAAAGAAAATATAATCCAAAGAAAGCTTCTGGATTTGATCTAATTACTGGGGAAGTGCTAAAACAACTTCCAAGGAAAGCTATTATAAAATTAACACATCTTATAAACGCTTCCTTTAGGTTGAGGTACGTACCAAAGATATGGAAGGTGGCAGAAATTATAATGACACTAAAACCAGGAAAACCTCCACAAGAAGCTTCTTCATATAGACCTATTTCACTGTTACCTGTCATGTCTAAATTATACGAAAAATTACTCTTGAAGAGACTAAAACCGATTATAGAGGAAAAAAATTTAATTCCTAATTATCAGTTTGGGTTTAGAGCAAGCCACTCAACGATAGATCAGGTGCATAGAATAACAGATATCATAGAAAAAGCTCTAGAAGAAGGAAAAGTTTGTTCCGCAATTTTCCTCGATGTAGCGCAGGCTTTTGACAAGGTGTGGCATGATGGACTATATCATAAAATGAGATGTCTACTTACCAAAACAATATTCTGAACTACTAGAATCATATATATCAGACAGATACTTTCGAGTTAAATATGAGGAAGTATATTCAGAATTAAGAGAAGTTAAAGCTGGAGTTCCACAAGGAAGTGTCCTGGGACCAGTGCTATACCTGCTCTATACCAGCGATATTCCATCATTAGAACCTAACACAATTGCGACATTTGCAGACGACACATGCATACTAGCAGTCGGACAAAACCACGAGGATGCAGCTACCATGTTACAGAACTCTGTTGAACAAATTAACATCTGGACCAACCGATGGCGTATCAAATTGAATGAAACAAAAATCTGTTTATGTCAATTTTACTAACAAAAGAGAACAACATATCCCAGTACATATAAATAGAAACCAAATACCTTATGCAAATACGGCAAAATATTTGGGTATGACGTTAGATTCCAAGCTACGTTGGAAAGCACATGTTAAGAAAAAAAAAGAAGGAATTAGAAATTAAGTTCAGAAAGATGTACTGGTTGATGGGAAAAAAATCCACTCTGTCTATTTACAACAAATTGCTATTATATAAGCAAGTCCTTAAACCAATATGGACATACGGAATACAGCTATGGGGCTGTACAAAAGAAAGCAACATCCAACATATACAACGATATCAGAATAAAGTATTAAGGAACATCGTTAATGCTCCATGGTACTTTAGAAACTGTGATCTTCATCGAGACCTCCAGATGGATACAGTTATCCAGACAATAAGTAAGTTTGCCGAGAGTCATGAACAGAGGCTCTCCAACCACGTGAACGTCGAGGCCATCAAACTCCTAGACAACGCCAACCAGATAAGAAGACTAAAGAGAACGAAGCCGTTTGATTTAGTGCTATAAGTGAGTGAAAGTGAAAAAGCAGAGTAAAGTGCGGCTAAAGTGTACACGTTAGCTAGTAGTACTATAATGTATTAGAGCCTAAGGAATATTGCTGAATATAACCTTAGATAAGTTTCTTGTAATATTTATATATAGAACTAACTTGCTTATTGATCGTAGTGAATGATCAATAGCAATAGTCATAAGATTCCTGTTGGAGTTTTATTAAACAAAAAAAAAAAAAAATTTAAAATTAAATATAAACATTTTAACTATTAAGAATTAAAAAATCTATTGCGAAAGAAAGTCTGTTAAAAATATATTGCTTTAAAAACACAAAAACAACAAAGAAAGTTAAATTGATAATGGTCTATAACCCCTTAAAATTTCACCTAATGTTTAGTAATGCCACACAATGGTTTTGGACGTACAGTGGTTTCTCTTCAGTATACTTTTTGAGCAATTTTGCTAGTTTATTTCCATGCACCCCTTCATGACCCATAATCCATATTCAAGCCAATTTCTTCTCTTTTTCAGATTTTTAAGAAGATTTTTGTTGTTTCCGACTAGCTGTAATTGGATCAGTGGGTTCTTCACGGCCAGAATAGTCGCTTGAATATCTGTATAAATGTCAGTTCTCTTTGCTTTTAATTATTCGTTAAGCATTTCATCAACGCAGGTCACCAAAGTAAAAATTTTGGTAAACCTATTGGTTATATTGTTAATTTGTTAGCTCCAATGGAGATTGTAATCCAAGGTTCGTCTTAAAAACGAAGAGATCATGAAGAAGACCACACTTTTAGTTAATTATATTTATTTTCTATTACTAACCATTTACACTAAAAAACATACAGGTTTCTTCTTTCTGTATATTAATATTATCTTCATTATATTATCTTCACTTCAACTAACAACCTTCTGTCTACTGCAATTATCGAATTAAAAATTAGCTGAGAGCTTACGCCTTTTTGTATAGGCCCTTAGGAAGGTCGAATACCTTATTCACGTAAACTAAACATCTACTTCATATGCAACAAACATGGGCTTGGTGGCCAGACTTTTCGGGTGCTCAGTAGGCGAGGAGAACAAAATTTATTTTGCAAATTCAGCGGCTCAGTAACCAAACACACACATAAATATTTTGAAGAGCAAGAGAGAGAGAGAGGCTCTTTGTTCTACACATATTTTTAGGGACATGATAAAAGTCATGATACAAAGTCATTAAATTCAGTCATTTCAAAGAGAAGAAAACCTAAAGTTAGTTAACCTTACCATGGTTAAAAAAATTGAGGATGTTCCATCCCTCAGGGTGTCCAAAGTAAGCATCAGTACATAAGCCTTTCGATGCGCAAGACGATGGGAAGTACCTACCTGTATACCGCTTCATGATGAAGTGTGAACGGTTTGGTCTTCGGACATGTGGGTCCCACTGTTCAATAGAACACGTACAAGGGACTGGGTGGTATCAGCGTATGTAAGAGAAGACCATAAATGCGGGAAAGCAATGACATTCAAAAGGGCCAAAATGGAAACGTCTAGCATGACATAAAGGCATGAGAGAAAGTGGAAGAGGTCAATTATATTAGAACTATCATACAAAAAGGTTTAAAAAATACATTGTATTTGCTGATCAAACTACTTATATTGATAACATTTGATAAATCTGTAATCCTGATGTGAAGCTCATTTTATTTTAAATAGGTGTGTTTCGATTTCCACCTAGGAGAATAGTTTTAGAACGATATTGGGTAATTATTTGTTATTTGGTGATATTTGCAAATTTCTGGTGGCAATAATGCAATAGATTTACTAAATAATATTTTATATGGAACTAAACCGCAGTTGTTTCTAATTAGAATAACAATTTAACATTTGTTTAGATGTTTTGATTCCCAATCGGATGATCCATGGACGTATAAACATAGATGGACACAGCAATAAGATACCTTTAACACACAATGTTTTGAAGCTACGATAGAATGTGATGCTTCCGCAATGAGCATAAGCGTGCTTGAATGTTTACTCGCGGGTAATTATTCAGATTTTAAAGATTGGAAGTAGTAATAATGTAGTAATGTCATATGTAATAATAATACAATTTTGTTTTTACAATAATGTAATAATACAATTTTATTTGCTTTAAAATTAATACAATTAAATATAGTTGAATTCAAGTTAATTTTTTAATAGGTATCAAAATAATGCTACAATAAAAAATCTTTATGTTTTCTCCTAAATTTGCTACCTAAATAGTTCGATCGTCAATATTATTTGGAAACCTACATAGAAAAATAAATGTTTTATTCATTTCACTAATTTATTTCTATCCATAAGAAATATTAAATTAAAAAGGCACTAAACAGATCTTTTTTAATCAGATGATGTCTACTTACAATTTAAAAATGTCTACTAATTTCATGACCTCATATCTTATTCAATACATTAATAAACATGAATAAACAAAATGGTACGCCTATTAAAATGTAAACCAAACACGCTTCCTCATTTCCTTATCTTAAATAATGTAAATTGTATGTACTTACAAATAAAATGAGAGATCGGGATGTAAATATTTCGTTTATTTTATTTCACTCTTCACAAATATCACCCAAAATACAGCCAAAATATCGAAAAACACCTTTTCCTCATCTACTGTAAAAAGTAAACAAACATGGAACAGCATTTAAAGTTTGACGTAGATCCATAAAACAGAGAAATGTAAACAACCGTTGCCATTTATAAATAGTTTTCAGTGCTTCTACATATAAAATAATTGACTGATATCTATTATACGCTATTATTAAATGATAATGCACACTATGTGCACATTTGATATTTTGATTACAATTAAATATAATAATATAACCAATAAATTATTATTTTGGTTTAATAGCACCTGTAGAGTATAAAATACGGAGTAATATTTTCAGCGACTCGAGAATAAGAAATTTTAAAACAAAACGTGACAACAGGTGAAGGTGCTGAGAATGTGACCTACTCAAATAATTTTGACTACACACTTGTATGTGAATAACTGAGTCCATCTGTGTTTATACGTCCATGGGATGATCACATTTTAGATTTATTGAATAAAATTTAACTTACCATGTTAAATATACTAAACACTATCACAGATTTTTGTGAATATGCCAAAACGTCCAAAAAGATAGGATGAATCAGGTACATACTGTAGATGAATTTGTTAATAAACTGAAATACGGACCACGACAGTATCCTGTTGATAATTCCTAAAATAAATAAACTGGTTTATTTTTAATTTGTTTTACGTAGTTTTTTATATCGAGTCTTCGAAAAAAAAACGTAATTAGGGGAGACTAAAACATTTACTGTTAATTAAGGAAAGTCGACAATTTAGCTATCAATTAAATTTTACCTAATGATATGAATATTATGATTTGACATTATCAAAATAATGGTTGTTTTCATTTCTTGAAAACATATTGTTTAATTATATTTTAAAATTTATTGATAAAAAAAAATAAAATGGAATATAAAATGTGCAGATATAAAGATGAGAAAGAGCGGACTTGGTTTATCTTTATCTTGGCATATTGCGAATATCATTGTCAGATTTTTTAGTAACACAGATAAAATAGTTTGTATATAACTTTTTCAGCATCCTATTTTTTTACTAACTATGTATTTTCAATAATTGTTCTTGTCCATTGTCTGTGACCTAGCCATATATCCTATATGACTTAACTTTCATTTTTTAGGTGAGAAAAATTTTTGTAATGGAGAAATTGTAATCTTTTATTTGTTTGTATTTTATTATGTCTTCATGTCCTTATGATGTATCTGGTGTCCAGGATGGATGGTACCTACCTCGTATTGGGAACTTTTCTGCAGATTTCATATTAAATCATTCGACACTTGTGTTCAATTTTCTCACATGCGAAAAACCATGTCATTTTTTCGCTGTATTATTAACTATCCTTATATCACAATTTTATAAACATTATCCTAGTCCAACCTTTAATAACCCTTCCTACTTACAGTTCAACCCCCTCCCTTACGAAATACAGACAGTTCTAAGATAGCAAAGAAGAAACTCATTCTCTCGATGGTCGTCTGACACTAAGGACAGACCATTCTCAACTCTCTTAGTTTGGCCATCACTAGATGATATGAATTGTACAAAAAAGAAGGCCTTGTTGTACCAGAAATACAATTTGTTGACAATCAAGACTGTATAGATTTAATCGAAACAAAGAACAAGAGCATATTAACACTTCTTGATGAAGAATCCAAACTGCCGAAATCGTCCTATACACATTTTACAGAGGAATTTCAAAAAATCCGGCCGAAGGACCAAAATATGTACAAAAAGGGTGTACATATGTGGGAAATTATTAATATAATTTCCGTGTATGCGGACTGTATTATATAGGGCTGGTTCAATAAAATTAGGGCAAGTAGTAAAATGTATACAGACAATAGCAAATTAAATTTATAGAAAGTCTTACCAATATTTTTTCTGCTCCACACTCTCACGGTTGTTTCCGGTCTTCACTCGTGGTTATTCTTCATCCACGAAATCTGTCCGATTCACCGGTTTCTGAACACGTGTTTCGCAAATATATCACGATATAGAGCACACTTTGTCTGCACACGATTTAATACAGTATTTTCGATATTTTCTCGCGTAACTAAAACGGGAAAGAGGTAATTACGATAGAAAAACAGCCAAGATAGATGCTGTTCTTCTTGATAAGCGGAAGAGAGAGAGGATCAAGAGAACGTCTGGCTCTAGTGATGGCCAAACTAAGAGAGTTGAGAATGGTCTGTCCTTAGTGTCAGACGACCATCGAGAGAGTGAGTTTCTTCTTTGCTATCTTAGAACTGTCTGTATTTCGTAAGGGAGGGGGTTTAAACTGTAATTAGGAAGGGTTATTAAGAGTTGGACTAGGATAATGATTATAAAATTGTGATATAAGGATAGTTAATAATACAGCGAAAAAATGACCTGATATTTCGCATGTGAGAAAATTGAACAACTTGTTTCCCGGTAGGTTTTGAGGGCACTGGACAAGAATATTATATTGGTGATGGTCTCCGAGGCACCTGATTTCCCAGGACGTCATCGTCCTCACTTTATCTTAAGGAGTTTTATGCAGAGTCCATACAAAAACATTCTAAACTTATTTCTCGGGAATTTTAAAGCTTGCTGAACATTTAGCAAATGTATTATTATATTTTAAACAGCAATTATATTTTTAAGCAATATTTTACTTTAAAACCTGTATTGCGTCTCTCCTTATTTTACAAAAATCTTCGTTTAAATTAATTTTATTATGTGTCATTATATCATCGCCTTACCTGCATGGTTTGTTGCGCATGCCCATATTACCCACCCAACTGCCAGTGCAAAAGCGGGCCTAACGAGAGAACTAAACAACGCGTTCTCTAATCTGGAGTATTCTTCCTCTCTGAAGAAAGGATGGTTTCCAAGACCGCATAGCAACAGTACAGCAAAACATATTATCCACGTAGGAATCAGGAGTATCTATAATATAATTGAGTGATTAAAAGTGTTCGCATAGCGCTAATATCGATTTATACATATTCAAAACGTAAACAAAATAAATAGTAATTATAAAGAAAATTATAATTATACACCAGTGGTCAGAGACAAAAATGCCAATGCACCTTTAAAAATCATTCGAAGAAGCTAAACTTTAGCAAGAATGTTAATTTTGGGATCTTAAAGAAAATGTAATAGTATATTACTTTATGAGGCGGAGAAGCATGACTTTTCTTGACGCGCCCAATATTACTCGCCGAACGAAGTGAGGCGCGTAATAGAGGGCAAGTTAAGAAAAGTCGCTTCTTTGCCGAATACAGTATACTATTTTTTCTTCAAACGTAGCAATTTTCAACCAAAATAGTACAATTCATACGCTATTTTTACTCGAAATTAACTGTGACAACTACCAAAGTCGTCTAGATGTTGGAAATTAAAATAATTAAGTCGTCGGTGGGATTTGCGTCTCCCTGGTTACAGTTGTTTGACAGTTGGTTGCAATTATTAAAGACAGCTTATTGTTGTGCAACCGCAAGCGCAAATTTATTGCGAAAATGGAAATCCTAAACGAAATTGAGTAGAATGCCTCAAACGACATGGGGGCTGGAAATCAAGCACGGTTGCCAAAGGATATTTAGAGGATTCAATAAGAAATAAGAACGATAATGCTCAAAAAATTTTAAACCCTAATCATTCGCCAACATCGGGAATGATTGCTGAAAGTTGTTCTCAACCATCAGTAACATCAACAATTACCAATGCGTATCAAGAGTCGGGAACATTTTTGCACGGTTTCAATTTTGAAAATGCCTCATTAACTAATTGTACTTTTAATATTACTATAAATAAAAATGATGTTTAATTTTATTGTTGCTTTGTGACATGTTTCATATTGTTGCCATGACAACATTTTTCCCTCCGCCGTAAAGAAATGGGAATAAAAAAATGCTGCCGGCGGAGACATTAAACTTTGACAGGATCAAGTAAGATATGTAATGTCATCATTATTTGACGTTTGAAGAAAAAAAAGTTTACTACTTTTTTGCGGACTTTACTCTCCTCCTCCCACTCGTAGGCTCGAAAGCGAAAAAAATCAATTTACAAAAATCTGTATGATGCAGAAATAAAAGTTTCAAATAAAAAATACAGCAAATACAGCAGAGATAACTTTGAACAAAAATATTTATTAAAACTTTTTGTGTAAATTAGATTGTTCTCCCAGAAACAACGCTTGAAACGTTCGGCAATTTTGAATGCTAGTAAGTGCGCGAAATCAATATTTCTATCAATTTGAAAGTAACAATTCAATATTTGTGGATCAGACAAGGTCGACAAAAATTTAAATGCGTTATAAAACTGTATAGCGTAGCTTTCGCTTGCAATTTTCGTACTTTACCGCAAACAAAATAAGTTTTTATAAATTTGTAAAGCTAATTGTGCAAACTAAAGCTAATTTTTATCTTGCTATCTTGCTAATATGATGACATAAGTTTGCTTGAGAAAAATGATCGCAAATTGGGGTTGCTAGCTATTAAAAACTCGAAGTATTAAAAATAATATCACTTGGTGACAAGTGAGAATTTGTATATTATCATTGTATATGTAACAATATATCTTATGTTTACCAATGTTTATGTTTATATTGGTCATAAAACTACTGTTACTGTTTATAGCATATTTGACTCTTACCCTAGGTAATGGTTTTAATATAAACCGTGGCCTGGTAAGAAAATATCCCAAAATCGTTCCCATAAGCCAAGGTGTAGCTCTAGATTCGGTACTTAGATAATAGTAGAACATAAGAAATATTATGGGCGTGCTAAAAATTAAATATTGCATTAAGTGTCTAAAAAATATTTAAAAGCTATAAAAATTCCATTAAAATATCAAAAAAAAGGTAGTCATATTGTCAACCAAAGTTAATTATTATGCATAATATAAAGACGCTTTTGGACGCAGATATAACAATTAAATAGTGTTCTTTATTGTTTGTTATTGTGTCAATAACATGAAAGCTTGCAAGCAACCTTAACGTTGGTTATCAAGATATTTAAATATTATCAGGATAAAACTGAGGTCAAACGGAAAAGGAATCAAATGCAGAGGCTCCTGTAAAGAAAATAAGTATTTAGAAGAGTATGACAAGGTCGTATTCTTTCGATAATACTATTTAATTTACTCTTATGTTGTTGTTTTAAGTACTGGAAGATCAGTGACCTAGAATAATGAAAATAGTTCTTGCCAACACGTTTAAGAGCAAACAAGGAAAAACTTGTTTGCTATAAAATAGTTAACTTTGTGAAAAATTAGTTTTTATTGGACATATTATTAAATGGGTTTGAGCTGCGTTCGTCTAAATAAAATATTTGTTAACAACACTATTTTTGTCTGTATAGTAGGAAGGGCAAGTTAAGTTCCACAGCACTTAAGCCACAATAAAACTAGATATTCTCGGGATAGTTGTTATTATAGATATCTTCAACCATTAAAAAAAATAAAAAACTAAGCCAAAATCAACAGTGTATAAAATTTTTAAATTTTGCAGGAAGTGAAGAAGCAAGTGCATTAATAAAAAAAATTTTTGGGACCGTTTTTGAAAAAATAAATGGTCTGTTAAGGGGTCCAACATTTTAATAAAGAACATTATCAAAATGGTTTATAATTATTTTCAGCAATTTAGTCATATGAACATAATTTCAGTATTATTATTACTGCTTAGCTACTAATTATTATAATGCCTAAGGAAAAAAATAAGTTTCTAGTGGTGTGTTGAAATACTGTTGAAACTTACTTTTGATAGTACCTGTTGGTGACTTCAGGCATATCATCTCTATAACCTCTTACAAATGTCACAGCTGTTGACGCTAATATTCCAAGAACTAAACATACTACTGTCAACTTTGTATGCTTTTTAAGCATGTAAAATATCAGGGGTGATAGTAGGTATAGCTGTGTGTCTACGGATAGGTACCAAGTATGTGCTATACACTAAAACACATTTAAAATATAAATAAAATGATTAACTTTAAAACTGCTAATTTAATATAACATAAAACGATGTTTAGCAAGCTAACAAAACAAATGATTTAAAAACCATATTTGATAGTGCTATCACTAGTTAGACTACTCGCTCTTTTAATTTTTCTCCTTTAGTTCAGTTCTTTGACGAGATATCACTGCGTGTACCCTGATATGCTGGTGACACTGTGGTTCTAGCAAGTAGCATGGAGGAACTGAGTTGCCTAATGAGTAAGATACAAAAAACAAGTGCACAATACGGACTCAGACTAAATATCACAAAAACCATATGGATGTTAGTAAGCAAAACCCAACAACCACCACAGCAACTGATATTAGACAATGAAAGAATTGAACACGTGGATTCGTACATCTACTTGGGAACAACAGTTAACTCAAATTGGGATCAAGCTAAGGAAATACGTATAAGAGTAGAAAAGGCAAAGGCATCGTTCACTAGCACGAAGCACATTTTTACCTCTAAAAGCCTCACCCTACCTCTCAAAATTCGCCTTCTGAAATGTTATGTATTCCCGGTTTTGTTATATGGAATGGAGGCCTGGACAATGACCGCAACATTGATGAAAAAAGTAGAGGCCTTTGAAATGTGGGCTTACCGACGTATATTACGTATATCCTGGACTGAGCACATGACCAACGAAGAGGTACTACGCCGAATAGGTAAAGAGAGAGAGGTAGGAATAAGTATAAAGAAAAGAAAGTTAGAATGCTTGGGTAACGTTATCAGACCAAATCAATATAGCGTACTACAGCTGATCGTTCAAGAGAAAATAGACAGCAGAAGGGGTGCAGGGAGGAGAAGACACTCGTGGCTCCAAAACTTGCGGCAATGGTTCGGATTGTCATCTGCTGAACTATTCATCTGCAGCAATGTCAGAATAGCCATGTTGATTGCCAACGTTCGGAATCGCACAAGGCACATGAAGAAGAAGAAGAAGTACCCTGATAATTATAACAGATCGTTTAGTACATAGTTCTAATTGAAATTTTTGTAAACAATTTGTTTACCTATAATATAAACAAAATAAATATTCTTGCAACGAGTGAGGATGAGGTAAACAAATGGATTACTTTTTAAAAAATTAATTTTTTTCTTCAAATTTCCTATCTAATCCTAAAGGTACCAATTTTTTGACAGACTGAGTTTTTTCCGGGCTCTTTCTTTTCTTATCCTTCGTCTTCATTATGAAACGGTAAAGGAAACATTTACATTAACTGTTATAAATTCAAGATTAAGAGAAATACTGTTCACTACTTTCCACAAGACCTCGTCGTATTATAAAACCTTCTGAATGACTTGATGCATTATTCGCTAATTTTAGGATAAGAGGTGTAATATAAAGTGAGAAATAATGGGTTGGTAAACCTTTTATATTAAGGTTCCTTAAAGGCCACCAATTTCAACAGAAAATATATTCTATGTCGTATGTCTGTTATGTCATGTGGGACATATCCATTATTTTGTAAAACCAGGTTTGTCTTCTTTTAAGAAACAGAAAGACGTCATATTAACGTTGATAATTTACAAGACAGGTTGCAGAATATTGGATATGAAGAGAGATTAGATGTTTAAATTATTTTTGATAATTTTAGGTGTTATCATATGTCCGGGAAAGCCGTGTATTGCTGATATTAAGTTAATATGTCGTAACAATGGTGCAAATTATTTATTACATACAATACTAATTGGACAAGATACATTAAAACTATTCGACAATAATTATATGGCAACCAAAATTATTTGCAATTTTATAGATCAAAGTTGTTTTATTTTATAAATTTAAGGATTCCTCCATGCATTTGATTAGAGCCATGTAGGTCATATTAATCTCTTTTGAAAATCATTAGAATATAAGAGCATATATTTATTTTTTTTAAAACTAGTTAAATTCATTATGAAATCAAATATATGTATAGATACATACCATGTTATCCAAATACATTTCATTATGAATATAAAGTATAGTAGACCACCAATATTTTTGACATCCTTCTTGGCTTACACTATTTATTAGCGGCCATTTTGGGCCCGAACCCGTATATTTTAAAAGAGTGGCTGTTACTATTATCACTCCAATCAGCGCTGGGGTTAGCCTAGAATACAAACAAATACAGCAGATATATAACTTTCAAAAAATTATCCTAGGAAAAGTATATTACCATCAATATAAGATATTTAAAAACCTAAAAGATAATAAATTATAAGATATAAAATAACTATTTACACTATACTAACTAATTTTGCATATAATAACGTTCTATGCTAAAATTTATATCTTCAACTGTTCAACTGTCTTCAAAACCTTTACAAATGGTATACCGATCAATTAACCTCATTCATCGATATCCCTGAAACCTATCCAATGTTTGAAGAAGAATTGGCGGATAATCCTTACGACTTCGATGACTGACTGGTATTATCTATATGATGAATTGGATAGTGATGAGAGTGCTGACCAGTCACAGGAAGATCAAGAAGACTTTGTAAATTGGTTAAAAGTACCTTCATTCTCCCAAGCGTATACAGACTTTCAGTATGTAGATAATATTATGTGTTCAACCGTTCAAGTAAAAACTTATTTTAATTGATTTCTTTTTAAATAATTGTTTTAGTTTTTTGATGGTACACAAGGCAAATATCGAACACAGTATTTAATCAAATCTTGCCCAAGTACTTTCGATCACAAGATCATCCTCAGGGCATTTCGTCATTTGTGGCCTATCCAGCAGTAACAGAATGTCATAAATGTAAATTAGGACATAACAAATACACTAAACAAAGACAAACAAACACTTTAAAATTTAAAAATTGGAGAAGCTACATTTTATATAGAAGCCAGAGACAGAATATCAGATATTCTGATATCAAGATTTTCACTGCCTATTAGAATTTAAAGACAAGTTACCGAAGGGCAGCCTGTGCGGTCTCTTAAGTAAAGATGATAATCTAAACCAGGGTTTAAGGACGCGACAAAATACGCCTTAAAACTAGAAGAAAAGAACAGCTTTAGTTCATTACAATATTCCGATTCAGGGCCAAAGGATCGATGTCGGTAAGAGCTGTTTTATTACAATATTTGGCGAGACAGTAAAGTTTGTATGGACCATTGTCCACAAAAAAAGGCTGTCCAGGCTTCAACAACCACCCCAGATGAACGAGGCAAGCACATCATTGGAAATAAAACATCCACAGACATAATGGCTTTGGTGCATTAGCACCTTGCATCTCTTCCAGCATATGAGAGTCATTACTGTCGTAAAGAGACTACTAAAAAATATTTGTCACCTCACTACACGCCGGAGGAAGTTTACAGTAAATATAAACAAGAAGTAGATGACCAGTCAGTTTAACTATTTATGGCAACGCCTTTCGTAACTCTAGAATAAAAATAAAAATCCTAAAAAGAGTACTCATACACGTGACAAAATTAAAATAAATTTTCATACGCTCAAGCTATCGAGAAGGAATTGTTACTAGAAAGTAGGAAGAATCATCACATGAAAGCTTTATTAACTTATGCAATGAAGTTGGCAGACAAGAAGCAGAGTCAGAATAACCCAAATTTTACTTCAATTGCATTTGATTTACAAGCGTGCTTGTGGAGCTTCACTTGTGCAAACATCAGGGGCGTTCTGTAAACGACAATTATGAACATTTAATCTGACCATGCACAACATGAAAACAGGAGTCGCTTTATGTTTTCTGTGGTATGAGAATATGGCAAAAAAAGGAGGAAATGAGATTGCTTCTTGTGTGTTTCATCAACTCCACCAAATAGAAAAAAAAATTTCACATGTCGTTTTGTACAGCGACTCATGCATAGGTCCAAAAACTGTTGAAAATAGAATTATCATTTATAAAAAAAACAGGCTTACCAACAACCACTGCCACTATCTTTGGAAAAAATCAAAAGAGATATTTTGTCAATATTTCTGTACCTCTCGCCGGTGTATCATAAATTTTATCAAGATCTACCAGCCCAAGGTGTTTTGTCGATCCTTTAATAAGTGACGAAGAGGACTAGCATTTTTTATATACCATTTTTTTATAATAATACATACACGTTAGATACACCTTTTTTATTAATAATGTTTTTGTAATAAATTTAATGTATTTTTATGCTTTGATGCTGTTAAAAATAAAAGAAATAGTACCTGAGTAGTCTGTGTAATGGGTAACAAGTAAGGAAAATATTGTGCATTTTTTAACAAGTCAAGAAATTTGACTAAATCGAAAGTTCAGCTATAAAATTTTTTAAAGTTCAGTAATAACCACTATTTTGTATCGTTTTCTGAAAAAATATGAAAAAAATTATTCGAAAAAAACCCAAGAATCGTTTTTTTTTTTTTCGTTTCCTCAAAACCGAGTAATTTGACATGTTACCTTTTGCACTGACGCCGTCCAAATATCTACTGCGACTTACCTTATATACCTGTGAAGGTAGTGTTTTATAATAGTATAAGAGGTTAAGTCTCCATCTTTGGTCTTAGAAAAATATACATAAGTAACTAAAGTGCCTCCAATCAAAAAAAGAGCATCACAAGCTAAATGTCCAGTGGCGAATAAAGTTCCTAAGATACTTCCAGTAATCTAAAAATAAATTTTTATAAATATAATATTTATTAACCTATATCAACTAGCTTATTTGTATTAAGTCCACGTACCAATTTAAATTGGCATTCTAACTAATAAACGTATTTTGCTTATTTTGTACAACTAAATAGTATACTTTTTGCATTTTTTTTATATAAATCGACGTAAAACATTGAAAGAAATACCTGTATTTTAAAAATAATTTACTTAAGTGTTCTTAGTATTCTACAATGGATAAGAATATTGTTTTAATAATAAGAAGAAATAATCATTAGTATGTCATAGACACATTTTAAGTTTGAATAGAAATAAATAGTGCTGTTGTCTTAGTATTTCACACTATTATTCTTCTTCTTGATGTGCCTATTCGTTATAAATGTTGGCGATGATCATGGCTAAAAACATGGAAATCATACATAGAAAAATTATTTGCATCTAACAGGACTGATGATCACCTATATGGAGAAGGAGAAACAGGACCTTCAATCCTTAAATCGGAGATAGAAGATGCCATTGCAGCACTAAAAAACAATAAGTCAGTAGGTCCGGACAATGTACCCTGCGAAATATTAAAGATCCTATGTAAATCAGACAAACAGTTCCTTGATAATCTAGTTGTACTTTTTAACAACATATATAATAGCGGTAAAATCCCGGAGAACTGGCTGCAGTCAACATTTATTACAATCCCGAAGAAACCAAATGCCCAGATTTGTGATGACTACCGGCTTATAAGCTTGATCAATCATGTCACTAAAGCGTTCACTAAGATCATTCATAGAAGAATATATGATAAATGTGAGTCAAATATTGATAGATCGCAGTTTGGTTTTCGGAAAGCACTTGGAACTAGAGAAGCAATTTTCGCTCTCCTGGTGCTTATACAGCGGTGTAGAGACGTTGATAAAGACGTGTATTTGTGCTTTGTAGATTTTAGAAAAGCATTTGACAATGTCAATCATAAACAGTTAATAGGTATTCTGCGAAAGACAGGTATTGACGACAAGGACATTCGAATTGTGGCAAACCTATACTGGGGTCAAACAGCAAGAGCAAAAATTGGCAACGAACTCACTGAAAGCGTGCAGATCAAAAGAGGTGTCCATCAAGGGTGTATATTATCCCCACTCCTATTCAATATGTATTTCGAGAAAACATTTAACAAATGTATGGAAAATGCAAATGAGGGCATAAAAATAAACGGCGAGTTAACGAACAATATAAGATATGCCGACGACACGGTGATCCTTGCCAGTACCATAGACGAATTACAACAAGTAATCGAAAGACTTTATTCAGTTAGTGAGGAATACGGCCTGAGCCTCAACTTCAAGAAGACAAAGTGGATGCTGATAAGCAAAAAGCAACAACCTGCTCGACAATTACGGATAAGTAACATACTAATTGATCATGTAGAATCTTATGTGTACCTTGGCACCAACGTAAATGCAAAATGGGAACAGACCATAGAAATTATGGCGAGAATAGAACGAGCTAGAGCAGCATTTAGCAATATGAAAAAGCTCCTCATAAGCAAGGATTTGTCTCTTCCCTAAAACTACGTATAGTTAAATGCTACATTTTTCCGATCTTGCTGTATGGCGTGGAGGCCTGGACGCTGACGGAGACGCTAACGAGAAAACTAGAAGCATTCGAAATGTGGGTGTACCGACGCATTCTTCGTATATCCTGGACGAACATGTCACCAACATAGAGGTACTCCAAAGAATCGGAAAGGAGAAAGAAATCGTGAATACAATTAAACAAAGAAAGCTTGAATATCTAGGCCATATATTGAGACACGATAAGTACCGTCTGCTACAATTGATTGTCCAGGGAAAAATAGACAGTAAGCGAGGGCCAGGCAGGAGAAGACACTCGTGGCTCCAAAATCTGCGGAAGCTGGTTCGGGCTCACATCAGTCGAACTATTCAGAAGCGCAGCAAACAAGATCAAAATTGCCATGTAAATAGCCAACGTTCGCAACGGACAGGGCACTTAAAGAAGAAGAAGATGATCATGGCAATCTTTATCTTATCTATAGCAGCGCGAAAAAGCTGCATAGATGTTACATTCAACCAAGTTTTAAGTTTCTTTAAACCAAGATGTTCATTTCATTCCTGGACCTTGTTTTTCAAATATTTTTCCTTGCAGCTTGGCTTGAAGAAGAGCATCTCTGAAGAAGAGCATCTCTGAATTCATTTTACATAATATGTCAGAAGAACTGTACCTTTCTAGATTTAATGGTGGTCAGTACTTCTAGGATCTTATTCATTCTTCTGAGGACCTCTTTAAGGTCCACGATTCAACATCATAAAAAATGACAGAGAAGACGTAGCATCCCAGCGTTCTTACCTTTGTATCAAGGGAGAGGTTATGACGTTTGAAAAAGGCCCTGATTTAAATGAAAGTGGATTTAGCTTTTTCAATGAATGCTCTAATCTCCTGATTGTTGGTCCATTCGTTATTTATTATGGTGTCGGGGTAGTTGTAGTTTGTTATTCTTTCTACAGGAGATTGGTTGACGTAGAGTTGATCTTCTGTTATCCTTTTTTTGCTAATTATCATAAGCTTTGTTTTGTTAATGTTTATACTGGGTCCATATTGTTGACTGTTTTACTTGATTTTGTTCATAAAAACTTGTAGGTCTTCTAATTTTATTTCTTTCTTTATTTCTTTTATTTGTTTAGCTGGTACCCATTAAGTAGAATACCTTGTTCAGTTTCGTGCAGAGCTTCGATAAATATTTTTCAGAGTCCAGAATGAAGATTAGAGGAGACAAAATACAGCCTTGCCTCACTCCACGCATGATTTTCACATAATCAGTGTGTTCACCTTCAACTCTGATATTTTCTGTCTGATTCAATAAAGATTTATAATTATTTTAAGATCGTGGTTGTTAATTCCTGTTTCTTCCAGTATTTGTATCATCTTGGCGTGCTGTTTTCCATCAAGCGCTTTCTCGTAATCAACTAGACATATCAATTTTTTTTAATACAAATATATTTTTGGCAATTTTAGAAAGTTTAGAAAGATATTCGGCATTTTATAAATATTGGGAAAACAACAAAAACATACTGAGATATAACTAGAAGAAGAGAAGTCATAGAGCGAATAATAGTTGAAGGTAACGTAGCGGGGAAAAGACCCAGGCGAAGATCTCCACTACGATGGTCGGGCCAAATAAAGGACGAAACAAAACAACACACCACAGGAAAGAGATACATTGTACAGAAATAGTCAAACAAATTACATGATGCCACTACACCTTAAAATGAGAAAAGATAAAGGAGGACGCCTAAGGACGAAATTGAGTTGTATTTGTAGTCGTGGTTGAAAAAAATTAGATTTGTAATTATTCAATCTCTGTAACGCAGCTACCCGTCGCCATTTAAATAAAAAGAATATTCGTTTTGTTAATAAATATTTGGTATTTACTAGATCTTTCTCTGTAATAACTTTTATTCCTTCTATAAATATTTTACCTGTATTGACTCTTTTGAATTAAATATATAGGATGCTATGTATTTTACATATACGTGAAAAGCCATAACCCATATCATACTCATAACTCTAATACCATCTAAACAATCGAGAGATGATACTCGATTACTTGTTTGGAAGAGTTTTTTGCCATTGGTGTATATGGAAAAAGCTACCAAACCGCGTGCACCATTTTCTGAAACAAAATATTAGTAGTTAACTTTAGTTATTTAGTTTTAAAGGATACAATGGAATGCAAGAGAGCAATTGCTTAGTGAAGTAAAGTTTAACTATCATAATTCCAAATTTTCTTGTTATTATACGTAATACCAATACGGTCAATAGTTACTCTAAAGTTTTCTAATAAAAAGTAGAATATTATTTGTAAAAAAAATAGTTATTTATCTAAGATACAAAGAAAATTAACAACGTAACCAAAGTTAGAGCAGGAGACGAATTCACTGAAAATATTCCAACACCGGGAGGAATTAGACAAGGCGACAGTTTAAGCCCCTTCTTGTTTAATCTTCTCATGGGCAAAATTATCAACAAAGTAACATCTCTTAATCTCGGATATAGAATTGGCAACAAAAGAATTGGTATGGTGTGTTATGCAGCAATTATTGCCGAATCAGAAGATGATCTCCAAAGGCAGCTCTTTTAGTTCTTTCAAACATGCCGACTACTAAATATGAACATCTCTACCAACAAAAATAAATGTGTGACAATAGCAAAAGATCCGCTCATATGTAAGTTAGTGGTTGAGGACAACCCCATAGAACAGGTGATGCAATTCAGATATCTGGACATAGATATATCAAGCACCCACGAGCCAGTAAATGACCTGAGGAGTCAGATCAACAAAGCATCTGCACTGTCAGGATGTCTGCGGGAGATAGTCTGGTCAAATCTGTATATGCGCACACATAGTAAAATTAGAATCTATAAGACTTGCATACGACTGATCATGACATATGGCATAGAAGTGCGCGAAGATAGCAACAAAACGAAATAGATGCTAAGGGTTGCCGAACTGAAAACCCTAAGAACAATAATGGGGAAAACAAGAAGAGACAGAGTGAGAAATACAAACATTAGAGAGCAGTGCAAAATTCAAGATATTGTAAGATGGGAAAGGCAGCGCAAGAGGATGTGGTACAACCATGTAAGACGAATGGATGAGAATAGACTTAAAAATTGCTCTAGAAAACAATCCGCTCGGTTCAAGACCCCCGGAAGACCACCTAAAAGATGGAGGGATAGTTTGCAATCTACCTCCCAAGAAATTAACCAGAGGCAGCTTCAGAATTAAACAGATCGAAAGATCTACAAAAAGTAGAAGAAGCAGAAGACAAACAAAATTTATTAAACAAGTTTATCAATTTTAAAATACCTAATCTGTAGCAGTTTGTGTGTGTGTGTAAGAAAGCTCTGAATAAATATAGACGAACATGAACTAATGAAAATTTAATGAAGCTTAAATTAGCGAAAAGCTAAATCAAACCGTATTATAAAGGAAAGTAAAAAGATTTCATGAAACATTTATATCAATTTTATTTCTTTCTACATACCTACAAGCCCAATTTTGTAAGAAAATTAAACATATGAAAGGTAAATGCACTCACAAAAGTTTCGTCTTAATTCATGACGTCAAAATAGTGACTTAAAGTCAAAGTATCGCTAATATTTTCGCGCATCACTGTCATTTCAAAACGCTAAACCAAAACATGTCTCCTTTACACCCCTCAATTTTCTTCAAATATATCCCTGAAGAAACTACACATAAATTGTTTCACTTGTACAACGTTGTTACGACGAGAATTTCCTTCTAAATGGAAAGAATTTATTATATCTCCTATAAAAAAGCAGATCCCTTCCCAACTCTTCAAACTCGTTTAGGCCAAACTGATCCTGCAAACAGATATAGCAAATGCTATGGCCTTCAAGCAAGACGTAATCGCAGTAGTTTTTAATATAGAAAGTGCTTTCGATACAGCCTATAAAGCCGGTTATCCTTAAAAAACTGGTAGAAAATAATCTAACATTATTATGCTTTATAAACAACTTTCTAAATAAAAGGAATTTCGGAGTCACAGTTAACGGAGTATTATCCGACTCCCACTGAAAATGGTGTACCCCAAGGTTCTACTTTTCTACTGGCCATTAGTGATATTTGCTTGCTTATAAAATCTCCTGTTAAATTTGCCTCATACGCACACGGCCTTATTGTACTCTACCAAGGAATATCCACAGCTGCATCCTCATCTTTATTACAAAATTCTGTCAAGTCCCTTACTACATGATCCAAGAAAACTGGCTTCAGGTTCTCTTCCAATAAATCCAAAATAATTAAATTCACCAGAAGATACAACAGCGCAGAAATACCCAAAATAACACCAAACGAACTAAATTTAGAGTTAATTGATCATTACAAGATTTAGGACTAACTGTTGATAACAAATTCATCTGGCGTCGTCATATCTATGAAATAAAAGGCAACTGTTTAAGCAGAATGAATATGTTAAAGACATTGTCCCACCAATAATGGGGTGCTGATGAAAATAATATACTACTCAAAATATATCAAGCTATAATCCGATGCAAATTAGACTATGGTTGAATAGTTTACTTGACTACTATCCAATAATTTATTACAATCGTTAAACTCTGTTCACAACACTGCTCTTCGAATTTACTTAGGAGCATTTCGATCCAGTCCCGCTAAAAGTATGCATTGTGAATCTCATGAACTACCCACTTCACCTTCGAATTCAGCAACGACTTTTATCTTTTGCTAGCAGAATTTCACCACTTCTGACTAACCCTGTATTTAATTTTCTGATTTTGCCAAAACCTGGACTCGTAAATTCGCCGAGATGTATACTTTCAATTCCACAGATCCCACTAACCTAGTACCAAACCATAAAACAATCTCAAACACTTGCATCTATAAAATCAGAATCCTGCCATGGTCTAGAACACCTTCTTTTATAAACACTCTCCTCTGTAAATTTTATAAGCAACAAACAAATAATATCATTTTTCGACAAGCATTCAAGGATACGTCCCACTATAATAAGGGGCTTTATACTGATGCATCTCGAAATGCAGTTGTAGTTGGCTGTTCTGTCACTACAGTTGATAGAGTATTAGGACAATACCGAATATCCAAGAAATGCAGTGTATTTTCAGAAGAACTTTTCAGTATTTCAAAAGCTCTCAAGTTACCTTTTGACAATTAAGAAACTGTAGCTCTGTGCACCGATTCCTTATCTGCAATTCATTCGTTAGAAAATATTTACAATTAACTAGTGCAGAAATACTAGAATTAATCCATCTCCACACTTCCTCAGTTATTTTAATAACAAAAATATGGGTACATTCTCATATCGGCATCCAACAAAATGAAATGGCGGACAGCGCTGCAAAAGAAGCATCTACATCCAACACCCGTCTACAAAATATAGCTATCATAAAGCTCCAAGAAGATAAAAAATATAACACACATCACTCATTAGTGGAGTGTCCGTTGTACGTATTTTAAAGACAACATGAATAGTTGAAATCGTAGGCTTCCACGGCCAGAGTCAGAATTATAGTTTATTCGTCTTCCGGGTTTGGACCGTGTCATTTGTGAGTGACCCAAAAGTGGGTTCATCTCTAAGGAGATGTCTGGGAGATGAACCCACTTTTGGGTCACTCACAAATGACACGGTCCAAACCGGAAGACGAATAAACTATAACATGAATAGTTACCTACAACAATAAAAGACATTCTAAGTAAACATAGTGATCACAATCGTACCATACTTTGTTAGTTTCCTCAAGACTAATGAGCAGAATCTAATTGTATTCTTTGTTTTTTTTATGTTTATATTATTTGTAAAATAGACCATAACTAATAACGCTTATGGTTGAATCAGTTTCCAATAAAAAAAATATAAGATGTGCATAAACTATTTGTTATTTATTTAATGCTTGAATATTGTACTTTTATAAACAATATTCAATAAAATTAATGGTTACGGTGATTTAATTAAAATAATAAAATATCCTTACTTTGCTTGTAGTTCTGCCAATACATATCGTATAAAGTTGCAAGAATAACAATTACACCAATAACGGCCAGTATAGATCTGAAACAAAACAGAAAATTAGAATGATTTTAAAATGTATAATTTCCGCCAATAAAAGATATAATTACATGTAATATATATTCTAAAGGTATATATACTACTATATATTAAAGGTATTATAGAGGTATTAGTGTGACGAGCTCTGTGGGCCGATTGTACGGCAGAATATTAAAGAAGAGGATTGAAAAACAGATACAAGATATTGAAGAACAAAGCGGCTTTCGTACCGGGAGATCCTGTCTTGATAATATATTTATCCTACGATAAATAATTGAAAAGCGTATTGAAAGAAGTAGAGAGACCCATTTGGTATTTATAGACCTTGAGAAAGCATTTGATAGTGTCCCGTTAGAGAAAATGTTTGAGGTCCTTGAAAGGTCCGGATTGGATTCGACGTATATTCGAGTGATATATAAATTGTACGAAAATGCAGTTAGTTGTGTAAAAATTGGAACCAGAACTTCAAATAAATTTAAAGTCACTAAAGGCTTAAAGCAAGGATACTGTTTGTCACCGACACTCTTTAAAATATACGTCCAAGAAGCATTGAGGAATTGGAGAAATAAATGTAGATTTTTGGGCATCGAAGTGGGACAAGAAACTCTGTATACATTGTTGTTTGCAGATGATCAGGTGGTGGCTGCAACCGATGAGGATGTTATAAATTATATGAATCGAAAATTATTCGAGGAATATGCCAAAATGGGGGCTTACTGTAAACATAGGCAAACAGAATATTTAAAAATTGGAGAAAATATTACAGATCTCAGGCTTGAAAACGTATTCATAAAAGGTTGCAACCAGTATAAATATCTAGGAGGCATCATATCAGCAGATGGCAGAGTTAAGATAGATGTTCAAAACCGAATAACCCAAGGGAAAAAATGCATCGGAATATTGAATTCATTACTGTGGTCTTATAAAATAAAGATGCATACCAAACTTCGTGTATACAGTGCAATTATAGAACTGATTACCACATATGGTGCCGAATGTTGGACGATGACAAACAATGAACGAGATAAAGTAGACGTTGTGGAAATGGATTATCTTTGAAGATCATGTCGAGTACCGAGAATGGAAAGAATCAGGAATGAGGAAATACGAAACCGTACAAGAATTAGAGATATTCTTTCAGATAGAATACAAGGAAGGCAATTACAATGGTATGGTCACTTGCTGAGAATGGAGGAGGAGCGGTGGCCAAAAGGCCCTAATGTATGTTCCAGAAAGAAGGAAAAGGGGAAGACCACAAAATTCCTGGAGAAGAGAAATTACAAAAACAATGCAATCTAGAGGCTTATAAGAGGGAGATTGGAGAGATAGGAAAAGATAGAGGCTGAAATGCGGGAAGCGGCAATCGCTGTAGGACCCCCGTTATATGATGATGATGTATATTAAAGGACAATAATCTCGATTAATAAATAATAAATTTGCCAACATCCAAAAAAATCAAGGATGAAAATTTGTTTGATTTTATTAAAACATGACCACTTTTTGAACTTATTTGAAATAATTGAACTTTAGTTAAAATGTATTACCGTTACAAAAAAAGTGACAAATGATTTAGAAAAAGCACATTTTTAGTTACTTACCATAATATTTTATTAGCTTTTTATTTATTTTCAACAAACATTGGTTATTGAATTTTAAAAAGTGAACTGAAAAATAAAATAAACAAAAAATTGCCATCTTTTAATATAATACAGCCATAATTAATTTTAATTTAAGTAATTATATAAATTTTTATGATGAAAAATATTGGTCGATCTCAAAAATTTTATGCGTTTTTCTCTTGTGCTTATCTCTATAACTTTAACATATTTTTCTAAATTAAATAATTTCTAATTTACTGTGCAAATGCATTCATAAAAAAATTGATACTGCAAGGTCCAGGATAAACTTCTTGCCAAATAGAATCTTTATTATTTGGAACAATTTGGATCAAAACCATATCGGCAACTGGTGTTAAAATCTTTTAAAATAAATTTTATGGCACTTTATTCTATTTAAAGGACTGTGTTATTTTTGGACAGCATTATCTATTTATTTATTGTTTCACTTCAATTCAATTCAATTCAATTTTTGAATGATATAAGTAGTTGTAACAAACCAACAAATCAGGGAAAGATCAGAAGTTCAAGACGTCATCGAAAAAACCACGACGCTTAAGTGGAACTGGACAGGGTACTTAGCCAGAACACAAGATGGACGGTGGACAAGACTTATTATGGAATGGAGGCCCAGAAACTATAAAAGAAGCCGAGGACGACCACTGACTAAATAGACCGATGATATAAAACGTGTAGCGAGAAACTGGCTACAGGCGGCCCAGTGTAGAGAACACTGGAAAGAACTGAGGGAGGCCTATTACCAAGAGTAGACGCGATTAGCTGATTGATAATGATACTTGGTTGTCTACCCTACTTAACTTTTAATTGGTATTAATTTTATAAGGATATTTTTAATTTTTTTTTGTTTTTTGGGCATAATAGAAGCTCGCTCATCTGTTCTTATTTGTAATATAATGATAATAATAATAATAATTTTCAAGAGGAACATTCCAAATTATTAAAACAAAGATGTTTGACCAATGTCTGCTTCCAGTAACGACTTACGGCGAAGAAATACTTTCCTTAACCCGGGCTACAGCAACCACAGTCAAAGTAGCCCAAAGACAAATGGAACACTCGGTGCTTGGACTGACTCTCAAACAGACTTAGAAACGAAAAAATATCGACAGGGGCAGATGCCATAGAATTTATAGCATGACTGAAGTGAAACTGGGTAGGCCATGTGACCAGAATGAATGACGGGTGGAGGATCCAAAAAATTACAGTATATAGACCATTCGCTGATGGCAGAAGCAGATATAGACCACTTACAAGATGATAGACAGACGACGTCAAAAGAATAGCTGGGAATTAGTTGCAGGAAGCTGAAGACCCACATAACTAAAAGAAATTAGGGAAAGTCTGTGTTCAACTTTGGACGCAGAGGGCCAGATAATGATATTTGGTTATTATTTCTATAATCGGATATAAAAAATATTATTTTATATATTTTAATATGTGAATAATAAAAGAAATGGCCGATGTCAATTATAATTTTTAGAATTTTACGTTAACAATCGCAATAAATTTCCATTTTAATTAGTCATCAGATAATTGACCTCTCCATATGTTCCATTATTTGTTTGGAAATTTTTAAGTAATTCATTTTTTATTGTTAATCCGTTCGAGCAAACACATGCCGGATATAAGGCAAAAAATCTACATGCGCTTTCGGGTGGAATTAGTAATTATCAAGTTACGGTAATAAAGACAGATGTTCATTTATTTATATTAGTAATGACTTTATTTTGATAAAACGAATTTGGAACTTAAAGATAACTTTTTTTGTTAAAAATCTAATTGTTTAAAAAATACTAAAATGACAAAAATCAACCAGAAGTTTACTCAGCAAACATTACAATCAAATATAACAACAAACAAATTGTGCACATCAAAACGACAATGTAATTTTAATTATTTGAAACAAATGACTACAAATGTTAATATTTCTGTAAAACAGTTTAACATAAGTAATTATACATAAGAGCATATTACTAGCCAGACATATTAATTAAATAATGTGGGGCTTAACAACAGAAATGCTATACTTTGTTTACAAAATGGTGGTGAAACCCACACTAAAATACAACAGCCAAGGTGGTCAAAAGATGCATCAAAAAAGAACCATCCTCAAATTAAGCAAGGTGCAAAAACATGCTTGCCTTGGAATTACAGGAATTTTGGGAGTCACACTAAGAACTGCTGTAGAGACCTATTTGGGCCTCCCTGTTCGGCACATTGTTTTAAGGAGAAATACGAGAATGAGATATTATAATACACCCATTAAAAACATTTGTTTTAAAACATGTTTCACTAATAAGAGTTTCAATAAAAACGGCTGTCTTTATTTTTTAATATCATGGGTCTTGTCTGACCGACACGATGTAATATTTGGCGAACCGATTATAATATTCGCGGGAACCCTACTGTCACCATTCAAATAAATGCCGCTGTCCTCATTGTCTAAAGAGACGAATGTCTCAAATCCTTGGGTGCGTCTACAATTCTTGGGGGATACTTATCCCTGCGAGTGGAGGCAAGGCTTACTGGTCCCACTAGTCTGAACTGGCTGGTTCGCACTCGCGGGTTCAGAAAGGTAGGGAGATCTGGAAAAAAAGGGTGAAGGACTTCTAGGTCTCAGGTCCTGTAAAGAGTTGAGTCTATGGGCTTACTTTAGAAGCCAGAGAAATGCATAAGCAGAAATTGTGTACTCTTCTAGTCTCTGCCTGTAACGGCCGGGAAAGAACAATAAAACCAAATTTCGAGTCTACAATATATTAAATAGACTGCATACTACAATTAAGTTAACAAGCTGTAAGTTGTAACCAATAATGATTCGTTCAGGCGCGAACGGAGACGAGAAGACCTTATCAAGAAATTAAAGGGTGGACAAGTTACGTTTCTATATATTCCTTGGGTTAGTATATAGATTTAGTTACCTTCGCGTATTAAGGCCCTAGCTAATGAATACGCCCTTCAGTTCTACTGGAATTTAGGATCAGTTTGTTGAGGTACTGCGCGCTATCACGATCTTTCGTAACACCAGATACCGGCACTTATACGGTACTATCCCCATCGAATTACAATAGCGCGCTCCTTGGACTGCATAATGCCTGATCGCCCGTGCTTCTGGCGTGGAGCCCTCTCGGCTTTCCCGCTCTTACTGACTCCCTGGCCCACTTTGTTCATTTTTTATAAACCGTATTCTCAATTACCAAAGTCGAGCTTTCACTGACTCAGTACTCGTGCTTAAACCGGGTCATGCAGCGGTGTTATTTTTTAACAAAGGTCGAGTTATTTGTTCCTTATTCAATTTGGAATATATAATAATTATTCAAAGAATCATTACTCTTCTCTAGGCTACTATCCTTTATTTTTTTCTTTATTTTTTTGCTGTGTTTACATTACAAAGACGAGTCCCTAAGCTAAGGGCTGAGTTTTAATAGATCTCAGAGTAGAAACTACTTTACCAGGTACAGCCTGCAGGTACGTAAGTCGTCTACATACAGTTCCTAGTTTCAACATCGAAAATATTGTAATACCCATGTTCGACATGTTTATCCATCTAAAGATCTGATATACTGGCAAGGATCGATCCCACCATAAACCGATAATCTCAAATTGTAAAGTCACATTGTTTTGAGTCTTTCGACTTTTGGAACTCCTAGAGATATCGTTGCCACCTTTGACTAGAAAGTATATGCCCTTAGAGGCTTTTAGGGACAATCCCACTGATGGTAGCTTCACACAATTATCTGCTCTAATATGTGCGTCAACCAAATATCCAAATCTGCGGTTCCTCCCGTACTGAGCAGTATTAATACGCACCAACGAGTCATCAATAGAGTAAAAATAACCTGTCTCACAACGGTATAAACCCAACTCACGTTCCCTGTATACGGGAAAACAATTTAGTGCTTGACGAATTCTGCTTTGCAATGATTGAAAGGGTTAACATCGATGGATCAAAAAGCGACGTCGCTTCAAGTCAAAGCGATCGATAGGTAATGCTTTCGCAGTCCCTATACATACTGAACATCAGAATCTAATCAAGCCAGCTTTTGCCTTTTTGCTCTATGCAAGGTTTCTGTCCTCGCTAAGCATGCACTAGTAGACCTGCGTTATTATTTAACAGATGTACTCTCCGAGTCAAACTTCCCACTGAGCAGTGTACCGAAACAGGCTGGAGGTAAGTTGACATCACATCTGACATTCCGTTGTAAACAAGAATAGTAACCTCCTCTTTTTTGTATTTATTCTTACTTTCAGCAACTGTAATATTTAAAAAAATATTTTTTATTAGCCTTATCTTGATTGTTACTATTTTATTTGATAACGACTTTACTTTACATCGAACAGTTTTAAAGATATAATAAAGTAAACTAGAAAAAAATCGGTATTCTTAATATATATATATATTATATATATATATATATATATATATATATATATATATATATATATAATATATATATATAACCAAGAGGATGATAACGGGTACGAGTACTATGTAGTGAAAAGGAGATAATACTGGGAAGTACCCTTTTATAACTGAGGAAGCAAAATAAAACTAGGGTGCTTCGTTCGATGTGCTTTTAATTAAAGGTCTAAGCTTTCGTCAATGATTATTGACATCATCAGAGTAAACCTAATTCTAGCAAGTAACTCAGTGACTTGGGTTGAACACAAAGAAAGTATTGTCTATGTATATATTAAACATAGTTGCAGAAATGGTATCCATAGTTTACAATGTGTTTTTTATTTAATTATAAACGAAATATTTACTATAAATCTAACCACAAACAATTTAAAAATTTTACTAGTTTAAAAACAATCTAAAAGTAATTGCTAGAATTAGGTTTACTCTGATGATGTCAATAATCATTGACGAAAGCTTAGACCTTTAATTAAAAGCACATCGAACGAAGCACCCTAGTTTTATTTTGCTTCCTCAGTTATAAAAGGGTACTTCCCAGTATTATCTCCTTTTCACTATATATATATATATATATATATATATATATATATATATATATATATATATATATATATATATATATATATATATATATATATATATATATATAATATATATATATATTATATATATATATATATATATATCGGTTTCAAAACGTCTTGCGTTGTACTATGCCTAATTTCTACGAATTTCTATCATTCCATTGTTCTTCGGTCAAGTCTCGGGAGCTCATTGCCTTTGTTATTCCCTCCTTCCATGTTCTTTTTGGTCTTCCTGGTTTCTTACGATTTGGTGGTATCCATTTCATGGCGATTTTTGGTAGTCTTGTTTCTGGCATTCATTAAACATGACCATACCATATAAGTTGTTTCCTTTCTATGTCTGTTGCCAGTGATCCATCTACCCCATTCGATTCCTTATTTCATCGTTTCTAATTCTGTCTACCCTAGATATTCGAAGTGATCGTCTAAATACATCCATTTCTGTTGCTTCGAGTTTTCTTTTATTACTTTTTGTTAGTCTTCATGACCTGTACCATAGGTTAAGCTGGTTTTTATAAGAGATTCATATATATTGTATTTTCGTCTTTTACCAATTTCTGAGCTCCAAAGAACTTTGTTAAGGCATCCAATTGTTCTACGGGCCTGGGTTATTCGTTTTCTAATTTCCCTATTATCTATGCCTGTGGTGTCAAAATCAATTCCTAGGTAGGTATATTCAGGCAATTTCGGTTGTGTCCATCTGAATTTTGGATAGTTCTGCTCCTATTGGGAGATACTTTATTTTTTGTGTATTGAATTTTAAACCCCACTTTTTGTATTCTTCCTGTAGTTTTCTGGCCATATATGTCAGGTCTTCTGTATCGTTGGCTATAAGGACTTGATCGTCTGCATCATTTCTCAACCTCTTGCATCCACTGTTGGATATAGGTCTCCTCCATGTTCTTCCACTGTTCTCTATCTTGCGCCTTCTGTATCCAATTTCCGACTGTTTTTCCCAAGTCGTCCATCCATCTTTTTGGTGGTCTGCCGCGGTGTCTTTTGTCTTCTCTAGGTCTCCATTCTATGAGTTTTTTGGTCCACCTATTATCATTTAAACGTGCTATATGTCCAGCCCATTTCCATTTGACTTGTGCAATTTTTGATACGACATCTGTCACTTTAGTCCTCTCTCTCACTATCCTATTTGGTACCATATCTCTTCTAGTTATTCCCAACATTGCTCTTTCCATTTTTGTTTGGGTTACTCTCAATTTATTTGCAGAATGTTTGGTTAAAGTTATTGCTTCGAAACCATATGTTATTACTGGCAGTATTCATTGGTTGTAAATCTTTTTCTTCAAGCAAATCGGTAGCGTTCCTTTTAAAATATCTCGCATCTTGCCAAATGCTGCCCATCCCAAGTCTATGCGACGCTGGATCTCACAAGTTTGATTGTGTTTTTCTATTATAATTTCATGATCGTCTGCAAACTGTAGGGTATATAGGCAAGTTTCTCCCAGGTCAATGCCCATTCCTCTGCACTTTCTCTTCCACTGATACAGTGCTTTCGCCACGTAGATTTCAAACAATGTGGGGGATATACAACACCCCTGCTGGAGTCCCTTGTTTACAGGAAATTTTTTTGAAAGTCTATTTCCAATTTTTATTCCCGACGTTGATCCTTTATAAAGCTGTTTAAGGGCGTTAATTACTTTGTGGGTAATGTTTGTTTCCTGCAAAACTTTTCATAGCATTTTAGCGGGTACAGTATCATAGGCCTTCTGAAGGTCTATAAACATAAGGTGGGTTTCTTGGTTGGTACATGATCTTTTTTCTATTATTTGTTTCAAAACAAACACATTATCGGTGCAGCTTCTTCCCGCTCTAAAGCCAGATTGTTTCTCTTCTTCTTGTTCCTTATATTCTTGTTCGATAATGTCTTGAAGTATCCTTCCATATAAGCGATTTAAGGTAGGTACTGGTTACTGATATACCTCGATAGTTTGAGCAGTCCAGTTTACTTCCCTTCTTATGTATAGATGTTATGAAGGATACTTTTCACTCACACGTCCAAATTTAGCCAATTTTTTACAGATTCCCGCGGATCTTTATTATAATTACGGTATAAAAGATAAAATAATTTTTGTAAAAGTAAATTTTATTTAATATTGAATGAGTAGTAAGGTACAATATTTTGAAGATACAAATACAATTACTGGTTTTATAAAATTTAATAAAATTGATAAAACAAACAATAAAAATAAATTCAGTTATTTATTCAAAAAATATTTTAATGATCATATTAGAGATAATAAGAGAAGCCAAATTGTAAATAAGATGTTCAATTTGAATCTCAGGGTTCTTTTTGTATTGTAATTGTATTGTTTAAATTGTTTATTATTGCGGCACCACGGCAATAAAAATATTTCGTGGAAATACTCGCTAGTACATTTGAAACCAGCTGTACGTTTATGAATAAAGTGTCTATACTCACATGCCCAAGTACGCATTGCTATCTAATGGCTCATAAACTTCCTCTTCGGTTTGACACACAAAATACCTCACAGTAGTATTGGGATGTTGCAATTGATTCATTAAATAACCGGCATCCGAATCTGAACAATTACTGGGCAGACACATACCCCGTACTGGAAATCTGAGTAAATGCATTCCACCAGTAATTCTAATTGTCAGGTCTTTTGTGGGGATCTGAAGATAAATATATGATATTTTTACAGATTTGATCTGTCTCGAACAATAAATTTAAAAAAATATTATTAAGGTAATAGATACACTTTTCTATAAATACGAAAAATTAACATATTTCGAAACAGAAAAAAAAAGTAAATAATTTTTGTCAATTTCACTTTTATCTATAAAATGTTTTATATACAAAAACGAAGAACTGTCAGCACTGGAGAAGGGTCCATGTAATCATTATTACCATTAACAATAGTTAAAAAAATCTCATAAATAAATATTTTATGACTACAGGGAAAAAATTTGCCCATACTAGATAAGAAAATTGTAGATAACCAAATCCGAGCAAAAACATCTAAAATTACTACAGGATGACGATATATATCTTCATGTCAAACAAAAATGAGAAACTAACATTTAACTTACCTGTGAATGTCCTGTGAAATTTACGAATTTATAAGAAATATCTGCAATACAGTATTTTCCTTTAATGTGATCTTCTCTAGATCGCAAATTGACACATTCTTCAAAATGACCCATGTCTCCATAATCATAAGAAGATTCTCCCATAGCTATTCTGGATGTTGCCTCTATCACTGCGACAAAAAGATTTTTTTATTTATTATATGAGTTGATATAATCTTTAAATATTGTTACAATAGTGTTACAGATCATCAATCTAAATATCAATATCACAAAAACTGAGTAGATGATAAGAGGAAAAATAAATTGAGCAGTATGGTCATTGAACAGATAAAACATTTGAAATATACTGGAATCTAGCCGAATACCTTTTGTAAAATAGTTTCTCTAAAAAGAAAATTAATTCCAGAATTTGAAATTTTCTTGGATTTTATCAAATTTTGTTAATAGGCTATATTGGCATCAATTTTGACTCGAGAGTCAAGCGAGTAGACATTTTTCACATAGTATTGAACGCTCGTTCTTCTGCCATACTCAGAATTTTCCTATATCTAACGGTTCGTAAGAAAAATTTTCACTTGGATGTCTGTATTTGCAGAAAAACTGGAGAATTTTTAATTAGATTTTTTCTCTTTTCCGGCAAATTGAGGTTAGAGCATCAAACTAAGACACACGTTTGTCATAAGCTGGACCGAGTGCATGTATCAAAACATAAAAAAAAAATTTTTTATTTAAAATTTGGCAAAAACCTTCATAGGGGGTACCCTTGGATTTTTATCAAATTTCGTTAATCGGCTATATTGGCGTCAATTTTGGTCCGAGTGTCAAGCGAGTGAAGATTTCTTACATAAAATTGACCGCTCGTTCTTCTGCCATACCCAGAATTTTCTTACATCTAACGGTTGTCACAGACGTCTAAATAACAATATCACAAACCTCTGAGTAGCTGATAGTAGTAAAAATAAATTGAGCAGTATGGTCGTTGAACAGATAAAACATTTTAAATAGCTAGCCGAATACTTTCTGTAAAACAGTTTCTCTAAAAAGAAAATTATTTCCAGAATTCAGATATCTTTCCGTTCTTCCTCCCTAACTATTTTCCTTCTTCGTAGCTCATTTCTGTTGGTTTTCCTTTATATCTCTTTTCATAAACTTAAAAAGGCTATCTTTTCTTCCACGTAGTTTTTATTCCTACATCTCACGTGACCAAATCATTGCAGTCGGTGTTGCGATCATTGCGAGATAGAGTACCTCCAATATTCCCATTCACTCTTCCTCATAAGTGCCTTGTCTGTTGCAGTTGGCGATCAATACGGCAAATTTTTCTCTGTAGTGGGCTTGATGAATTAATTAATTTCCTCTTTTATGGGTCCAATCTCTGATGTTTCGTAGCCAAGATTTTTTCTATCGTCCTATGCCCCTTTTACCTTCAATTTTGCCTTTTAAATTACCTGGAGTTACTCAAATTTCTTATTGTGCATTATGTGCCCTAAATATGACGTCTTTCTACTTTTGATAGTATTGACCAGACGAGAGCGTGTGTTCATTACTCTCAGTACTTCTTCATTCCTAGTTGTGCTGGTCCAGCTTATTATTAGCATTCGGCGGTACATCTACATTTTAAATGAATTTAATTCATTCACGTCATACTGTTTTAATGTCCAGGTCCCATAGCCACATAGTAATAGAGACCACACATAATACTTTAGTGTTCTCAATTTTATTGAGACTGATAGCTTGCAGTTACAGAGCATTTTACACATATGCATAAAACCAGATCTTGCTATTTCAATGCGTCTTCTAATTTCTTTTGAGTGGGCTAGTTAGCTATTTAGCTCTCTGTCCAGGTATATGAAGCTTTGAGAACTCTGAAGGGTGAAACCATTTATTTGTGTGTTAGGTGTAACTTGTTTACGGGAGTTTTTTGTAGAATACCAGAAGTTTGGTTTTGGAAAAGTTAATGTCCAAGCCCAGCCTGTGACTTTCTTCTGATAATATGTTTATCAATATTTTTAGTTGATCTTTTGTTTCTGCTAATATTACGGTGTCATTGGCATATCTTATATGCCAATATGTGTCATTGGCATATTGATAATCATGATTCCATTGACTCATTGGAACCTTCAGGGATCTTCAATATATGTTCGGCATATACATAAAATAATCGATGGGGGGGGACGAAATGCACCCTTGACGCACCCCTAGTTCTATGTTGATGTACTTGGAGTTTTCGTTCTCTGTTCGAACGCATTCTGTATGGTTCCAGTATGTATTACTTATGACAGCTATGTCATGTCCTTCCAACCCTACTTCTTCTCGATTTTTCCATTTTTTCGTTTTCATCCCAAAAAGAAGCAATGTTACAGTTAAAATTCCAACCCAAAATGCATATTATAAAGACCCAATTTCAATACTAGAGGCCAAAAAATAAAATTTGACCACATTGCTTCAATGGATGGAGGAACCGTTCAAACAAATTTAGCAAAAAATTATTCAAACATCAGCAACTAAGAAAAAATTCAAGAAGGTCACAAAATAAAATGTGTGATATTAAAATTAAATTGTTATAAATAGTTTTGTTTTGCAACCTGACATTTTATTACTAAAACAACATAAATCTATTTAAAAATGTTAAAAAATTAAAAATTTAAAGAGTTTAGTAGCAATTTAGACTGCTTTTTTTAATAAATGCTTACATTAGGTGTAATCTGTTAACTACAATTTTCACTTTTAGTAAAAATGTTTAGAAAAATTTTCAAAACGTTTTTTTTTCAATTTCTGCAAACTGCTGTCCGAAAGTGACTTATAATTCAGTAAATTTGTACTGTAAAGTGATACTAGTAGGAAAGTTTTGGGGAAGTTCTGATTTTTTCATTCCATCTGTGTTTTGGGGTGCTAAATCTGAATCTGAGGTTTGCGGAAAAAATTTCGTGACGCAACATTTAAAAAACCAGAAGAAATTGGTTTTTTTTTACTTTTTTCCAGTTTTTTGCTTAACACTCGAAAAGTGTTAACTTTTAGTATACGGTCTGTATACAGAAATTAAAGTACTTAAAGTGCTGTACAAATGTCACTATTTTGGTTATTGTACAGACGAACCGTTCGGTCTCAAGTGCAAGTTGAAAATTGGCAATTTGTACCGGTGTAACCGCAAAACCCATTTTTTAGATTTTAGATGTTAGATGAGGAAAGGAACAAAAACCGGTTTGTACAAGGCTTTTACACCTACTGAACAGACTGACTTTAACGATACAAAATATGTCATCAACGGGGGTTTTTTGTTACAACGGGTAAAATGGTGCCAAGGTCAGACATATGCAGAATTATATGCAGCAGTTATGTATCACATGTCAAATCAAACTACAAATCAAGTGCTATTGTCGTTTTTGATGGCTACCCTGACGATGTTTGTGGTGGCATAAAGCGTTTAGAACGATTGAGAAGAGCACAAAGAAAACAATGCTGCAATATCATTAACAGAAATGATAGTGCCCACTGTGTCGCAGGATAGTTTTCTTGCAAACCCAAAAAACAAGAGCCGGTTTATACCTATGTTAATGGAGAAACTTCATGATGCAAACATTTATTCAAAGCAAGCTGTGGAAGATGCTGATATCCTAATTATCACAGCAGCTCTTAAGATTGCCCCGTCAAATGAACATGTGACAGTGGTGGGGGAAGATATCGACCTACTGGTCATTTTGATTGGCCTTTGTAGCCCTGATATAAAAAATGTATTTATTTTGAAACCAGGAAAAGAAAAGGTTTCACAAAGCCTCTACAACCCTCATCTTGCTGCTGAGAAAATCCTATTGGATCATATTTTATTTGAAGCTTTCAAAGACCCTAATTAAAGTCAAGATGAGATTGCCACAGCAGGAAACATGTTTCTCACGGCTCTATATGGAAAAAAAGAGACAAAAGTAAACGATTTAAGATATAAACAATACGTATCTTCATCATTCAAAAATAAGACCAACATTTCCTCATTGCTCCCAACTGAAGCTGCTGCACGAGAACATTCACTGAGAGTTTACTATCAGGTGCAGCAGTGGTTATCCGGTCAAGCCACACCTAACGAGCAACAAAAAGACCTAAGTGAGTGAGGATGGCAAAAAACTAGTAGTGGTCTTGTGCCAGCACCAACTACTTTGGACCCTGCACCAAACTCAATACTCCGGTACATTTCATGTAAATGTAAAAGGGCTGTTAACGCAATTGTGGATGCAGGAAGGCGGGACTCCATTGTTTCCCAATAAGCGCATCATGCGAAGGACTGTGTAACAATGTTGAGCCCCCAGAAGACAGTCTGACATAGACGTAGAAGAAACTGAAGAAAGAGAGAGAGGTATGTTGGAACTGACAAGTTATTTTGTAGTCATTTATCTCTCCTTGATATATGATATGTGTCTCTCCTCTTTTTATTTTCCAGGAGAACGACTCCCGACGCTGACGATGGAGCAGTCAGACCCTGAGCCAGGACCCGATGCCATCGAAGAACCTCAGTACGATGCGGAAGGTATGTTTAATCTCACAATCTATTTTGCAATCTTCATCTCTTCTTGATAAATGAGTTGACTTTAAACTTTTATTTTCCAGAACAAGCAAAACCAGAACTCATCGTTATCGAAGAACCTCAGCCTGGGCCTTCCAAAAGACAACGGCTCATATAAATTTTGCATATTATAATTTATATTCATAATAATATATGATCATAAGTAACGAGATTTTAAGTTTTATTTTGTTACGAGTTCTATCTACCTACTGAATTTGCATAATTTTTGCCTTTTTTGTTTTTTATTACTTTTGTCAAAAAACAGGTAATATTTATCAAATGACAGCATCCATAAAAATTAAATATTGAAATGTAAAAAGTGGGTTTTGCATAAACTACTAAAAATTTACAATTTTCAACTCGCACTAGAAACCGAACGATTCGTCTGAAAAAAAAAACTAAATACTGGTATTTGTAGAAAATTCCAAGTACTTTTATTTCTGTAAACAGACCATTTACCAGAAGTTGATAGTTTTCGAGTTTTAAGCAAAAAACCCGAAAAAAAAACGGTTTATTCTGTTTTTTTTTTAATGTTGCGTCGAAATTTTGTCCGCAAACCCCAGATTCGGATGAAGCACCCCAAAAAATACATGGAATGAAAAAATCAGAACTACCCCC